AATACTAGTCTAGCAAGGAAGCATAAACCATTGTGACTACATTGGAAAGGCAACAATAAGACAACTGTCAAAAAGGGAATTTTGGGAGACTTGCATGTGTGGATTTAACTAAAAACACTGACATTGTCTCGATATGTGGCACAGATGTGCACGGCTCAACCAATCACTGGTAAGAAGGTTCAACTATCATTAATACTATCAGTAATATTAATATTTATTCCCCTATAAGTCTTTTTTCACCAGCTATAAAATACTGAAATACTGGCTTCATATTTGAATGCTTGTTTTCCAGTATAAATCATATCTGCCCGACTACACCGACCTCACAGAGGAACTAAAATAAATCGCTTGAAGTGGGAACACCAACACACTGCATGCCAACATCAAAACATTTGTATTTCATACCAACGACGCGAACTATATTAGACACCAAACACAGGTTATTGTGCGGGGACATCTCATTTCAAGTGTGAGCCGCAGAGCTGAAATCAATATAAACTCACAGACTACAGAAAAACAAGACCGTGGGAGGTTTTTGTCTATTCTAAAAACACAGAGCTTCTTTCAAACTGCCTCCAACCAAATCTGTGAGTTTATTGCGTTATGCAATTGCTGGAAATTTCATAATTACCTCTTCCTCCTCCTCTTCTTCTTCGTCGGCGTATCTAGTGTCGTCAGCTTCATCGTCGTCGTCGTCAACCAGCTCTGGGCGGAATTCGAACACCTCACGGCCGCTCACCTGCAGATAATTAATACAGATAATAATACAAATTGCGTTTAGACGTTTTTGCTTCGGCACCGCTGCCAAGGTGAAATTTCACAACAGCTGCACTCACCACCAGAGATTTGCCAGCCTTAAAATCAGCCTTCTTCTTCTCCAGTTCCTCCCTTGCTTTGTCCACCTGATAAAACAAAAGCATCAAGTATATCATGACAAAAATATTTGACAAAGCTTTAATGATTTCAGTCATTGAAAACCCCCCCCGAGCCATCAAGTCTTTAATAATATCAGGGAAAAAGTGGGGACTTGGCCCTGACAACCTGATGCTACTACAATGTTTGAATGTGTCCAACCTTCTCCTGCCTTTTCCTTTTCTTCCAAGCCAGGAAAGTCTCCAGAGTTATCCGAGTGACATTTGCACCCAGAGCTGCACGCTGGAGAGAGACAAAGAAAGAAATCTCAGTTTCTGCACTTAAATTAATTAATTTGAGGTAACAGCATGAAGACAGAGACATTTCTTAGCATTCAATTATAATATCTCAGTCTTAGCTCATGTCTTCTCTTAACAGCAAGTTTTGCTGTTTTTCAATACTGAGTAGAAATAGTTTACTTTCATAATTATATATGTTGAGTTGTTAGTAGGGCTGGGCTATATCATACCGTTCACGGTAATACCGGTGTAATTTTGGACAACAATAGGAAAATGAAATATCGCGATAGAATATGGGTA